AATATATATATATGTATGTATGTATTCTAGACTAATAGGCCAAAGAACATATAAAACATGTAAGACTATTGTACCAAGTTAAGATACACTTTTAGTTACATCGTCCACACTGGATTTCAATAATTTCTCCCTCTTTTTTCCTATTATCTGTTTTTTATTTCAATATATATAGATATGGAGATATAGATACACAAAATTTTTTATATAAGAGAAACTATGCAGGATTAAAGCTGTGTGTCTGAGTTTCTTCATTTAACATTATGGTCTCAATGTACATCCATTTTCCCACAAATGACTCAATTTATCCTTCTTTGTAGCTGAGTAATACTCCATTGTGTATAAACACTGCATTTTCTTTATCCATTCATCTGTTGATGGACATTTTAGCTGTTTCCAAGATTTAGCTATTATGAATTGTACTGTTATAAACATGAATATACATACATCACTGATGACTTTGACTCTTTTGGGAAGATTCTCAGAAAGGGAATAGCTGAGTCAAATGGAATTTCTATTTTTAATTTTTTGAGGAATCTCCGTACTGATTTCCATAGTGGCTGTAGCAGTTTACAGTTCCACCAACAGTGAAGAAGGCTTTCTCCCTACAGCTTTGCCAGCATTTGTTATGGGTTGATGTCTTGGTGGCAGCCATTCTTTCTGGAATGAGAGAAAATCTTAGTGTTGTGTTAATTTGTATTTCTCAAACGGCCAGCAATGTTGGACATTTTTTTCCCATGTATTTCTTGGTCATTTGTATTCACTTGAGAAGTGTCGATTCATTTCAGATACCCAAGATATCAAATAACCAAGATATATGAGCTGACCTGTTGGGTATTTCTCTTTGATTAATTGTGACTTTGGCAAACTAAAATTACTGTCTTAAATTGGATGTGTTTTGCAGAAATTACTGGTTTGGAAATACACAGAACCATATTATGAACAAATCACATTTCCCAGAGACTCAGTTTTTTTTTCCTGATAACTGAAGAGGTTGAATGGATAAAGTCTAAAATTTCTACCATTTTAACATTTATGAATTATTGTGACCATAATAGCTTCATATGTTTTCCATGGAAGTGGAGTAGATAAAATTTTTTATTGGCTTAGGAATTTTTCCAGTTTTCATTTAGTTTGAGCAAGTACAAAGATCTTGTGAGAAAAGCAGAAATATTTATAGTTCTTCTTTGGGGAATGTGTTTCCCATGGTATTTCATCAAAATCCCATCCTTCCCTTTCAAAAGCTAAATTTCTAGACCAAATGGATAACCTTTCACTTCATGTAGACAGTGATGGTGGAATTGGTAGCCTGCTGCCCAGGGGTGAAGGTGGTGTCTTGTAGGAGCAGATTTCAAACCTTTAAGGAGCAGGAGACAGACCCTCCATTGCAACCCTACTTTTTGAAAAAGATATTAATATCAATCAAACAAATACTCTTTGGGAAAATTATGCAAGTACTGTAGCAATAGGAATGTGATTTATATACTTCTTCCTGATATATACATAATTTATAAATAGTCTATTAGAGAATTACAGAACCAAAGTACTGTTTTTTTTCTCATTGAGTTTATTGGTACTTTTTAAGTATTCAATATAGTTACATTTATCATTCCGATCTTGTACCTTTACATGACAGATAATGGTTCTCATTTTTTCCCCTTACCCCTGCCCTCCATTCACCCCTCCCCTATTTACAAAGACTTTGTTTCCATTTTTTTCCTTTTCTCATATTTTTCTTTTCCCTTATTTCCTTTCCCCTACCCTTCCCACGTCCCCTACACCTGTACTGTTGATGCAAATATCCTTGATTATACACTATAAGGTTAACCAGATAACCTACTACAAACTAAGCCAACAATAATGATAAAACTAATAGTGATTTATAATAAAGAATAACATAACAACAATTTAAAACAATAAAAACACCACAACAGTATAAGGTTCTGGTAAGAAACTCAGGAATTCAAGTTACACCAGGTGCCTAGTAAGTGTCTTGCTGTACTGAATTATGCCTTTCTGTAACTTTTGTGACATGTGGGCCAGGAAGACCAAAATTCCTAATAGTAACAGCCATTTCTGGCCATCGTGGTGCTCTGCTATGTCTGCCAAGAACCTCTTGTATGCTTTGCCCTTTTTGTACAACCCTTCACTGACTTCTGTGTGATTCTGGCCACAGGTGTGCTTCTTACTGGAGGAGTGCCATTACTTTACCTGCTCGTGCAGAAATGTCTGGGAACTGAGATGCATCCAGGGTGGCCTTGTGCCAGTGACTGTCTGGTGCTCAGTCAGTTCAGAAGCCAGCAATGGTGCACTGAATCAGTACACTGTCTGAGGCGTAGGTTATACTCCCGAGATCCCCAGCAGGATCAGGCTGTGGGACTTTGGAATCCCAGCCTCATATAGCTTCTTTTACTTTCCTCCACTCTTCCTCCTTTTTGGTTACTGTTGGAAACACCTCCACATAATTTTTTAAATGTGATTTCTCATCTAAGGACCTGCTTCTTTCTTTTCTTCTTTCTTCTTCTTTTTTTTTTTGTAACTGAACTACCAGGTTATAAGCAAATAGCCTTAGCATCACATGAAAACCAACACTTCTACTTTGTTGTAGAAGATCACATAGGTATTCTGAACATGTGCCTTTAATTGTTTTGACTTGGAAGCAAAATGAGCAGTTGTGGATCAATTATTTTTTCTTAAGAGCTTAGGATCTCCAGAGTGCCCCTTGGGCTAAGGGAAACTAAGGAGAAATCCTGCTCACGCAGTGCTGAATGTTAGAATTTGTTAGAATTCTGCACACATTTGTGACATTTGCTTTGCCTCTGGAGTCCACTTATGCTGTTGGTTAAATATAAGATTGTGCAATTCAAAAGTCGTCAGAGGGCAAATAACAAAATGCTTCAAGGATTTATTTTTTTCCAGAAACGAGTTCTGATGTTAACAGTCTGACAAATGAAGTCCAGCTCTACAGTTCGGCCACACTTCTAAGTTCTGGTCTCATTTCATTGAAAAGCAACAGACCCCAAATCACAAGTTTCACGAGGCTCCTAAAAGAACCTTTCCCCTGAGCCTTATGCATCTAGGCGTCCAAGTAATGTCATGTTTTCACAGCAGCATCCTGCTCGCTTTGAGTGATGCTGCCATTTCCCGGAGTTCTCAGCAGTGCGGCTCTTCCACACACTTGCACCCAATTTCACTGATCAGTAGCTCTGGCTTTTCTTCACTCTCATATATTCAATAATTCATCTGGCAGGTGCAGAGCAGACACATCAAAAAAGGAATTGCAATATCTTGGAAGAACAAGGAAAATACTTACTGTTTACTCTCTCTTGGATCCTGACATTTAATTTGGATGTGAGGAGGATCAGTAGTTCCGGCGTATTCTGGCCCCACAGATATTTGTTATTTTTTTTTTTTTTGAATGATGAGTTGGATTTTTCATTCTCTCTCCTATAAAATGGCTTTAATCTTCAGATACCTCTGAAATACCAGGGATATCAATAGGTTGTTCAGATGTGACTAGTCACTGGGTCATGGAGTTGGGCTGATCAAACATGGGAACAGAGCAGAATTTGAAAACCAGAGACCATGTCCCTTCACTGGGCATCTTTCCCATACTGTCCTCATTCTAGGCAGCTGCAATCACAAAGAGCCTTTTAAGAAAACCAACTTACTTCAATTTAACTTAAAATTTACAGAAAAGCTGCAAATGAACTGTAGAGATTTCTCCCATGCCCTTCAGCCTGCTCCCTCTAAAGTGAACGTTTTACATAACCATGCTACATTTGTCAAAACTAAGTAGTTAATAAGGGCACCGTCCTCATAAGTTTTATAAGTACAGACTTCATTCGGAATTCTTCATTTTCTCACAACTGTTCTTTTTCTGCTCCTGGATCCAAGCCAAGATTCCATAATGCATTTGGTCATCTTGTCTCCTAAATACTTATAGATAATTAAAATGGCTTTTTACAGGTGATATATTCATAAATCTCTCCATTTGTAGAGCCAAGCTGCCTGAGTTCCAGTCATGGTCGTGCTGCTCATTAGCTGGGGGAAATTCCCAAGTTATTAAACCTTGTTTTGCCTTCCCTCTAACTTGTGAATGCTAATAATACATCATCTATGCTCAAGGACACTAATTATATTGGCTGCATATGGTATTGTGGGGATTGATCAAGTGGGTCCATGAGGAGAAGCTCGTGATAAGTGCTCAGGGCAAATTAACTGTCATTTTTATGGTTATTACTTCATCTTATATAAGCATCTAGCTATCAGATATTAATTCCTTCCCTATGTGGGCATAGATTACTCCTTTTAAAATAATTCCTTTTTTGAATATTTAATGTGCACATTGTAAAGAATATTTCATCAGCACTAAAGAATTCATAGTAAAAAAATATGTCTCTTTCTTGTTTCTTGTTCCTCAGTCCTCTGGTCTCTTACCCCCTGCTGTAAGATAATCACTGTTACCCTTTACTGAACACTTTCCAGATATATTCTACAATAGAAATATATTTGTTTGAGTATTCTTTTCATCTGTAACTTTAAAAAATGTAATGAATGTTATCTAAAAAGCAGAAATTAGGTTTTCCTCATTTGTATTGTGATTAATAGTTAATAACTGTATTTTGTTGAGCACTTACTATGTGGCAGGAATTCTGCTGTTTCCTCTCTTTCTCTCTAACTGCATTTAATACCACACTCGCCATGTGGAGTAGGTGATATTAGCATTCCCATTTTACAATAAACAAGGCTGATGAGACTAACTTTTTCAGGGTCTCTCAGTAGGTGGTAAAGCAGAGATTGGAACTTAAGAAAGTTCTAGGAAAGAATATTAGAACTTAAATACATTGAATTTCTGCATTAGAATTCCTTTATTTATTATATGCCAGTAGCAACTGCGTGTGGTGGCACACACCTGTGATCCCAGCTACTCCGCAGGTTGAGGCAAGAGGACTACAAGGTCAAGGGCAGCTTGGGCAATTTTGTGAGACTTTGTGTCAAAAAGAAAAGAGGAAAGACTGGGACTGTAGCTCAGTAGTATCTCATTTGCTCTGCAACCCACAGTGGGTTGACTAGGCTTAGAAGGAAGGGCCTGGCATGAAGCACAATTTACTCTATAGTTTGGGGAATGGAAGTCTACCATCACAGAGCCATTGTAGGACTCACAAAGCACGGGCTGCTCACAGAGAGGAGTTCAAATCCTATTTCATAGGAACCTCACTACTGCTTGGAGATAATTTTTTGTTGAGATTTTGGCAGTGAGTATTAGCGTCATTTGGCAGAGATTAGTGAGTTGTTGGAAGAACAGATTGCTTTTGCCTGGCAAGTTGTTTTCTGTCCAAGTCTGTAGAGCTTTGCTTGATAGCACTGAGTTCCAGCCATCCCTTTTCTGTGTTGACTTTCTGAGGTTCTAGAAATCAGGTGCTGTACCTTTCTTATCTCTATATTCCCAGGGCCAAACACATTTCTTGGTGCGTACTAGGCACAGAAGAAATGTTTGGCCAAAAAATGGATGCAGACATTGTTTGCCCATGATGCGGGTTTGGATATCAGTTTCTTCCAAGCCAAATGGCCACACAGACAGGGCAAATTTCCTGGCACTAGAAAACTATAAAATAGAAGTTTCTGGGCCATGAAGCTCTTTAACTACTTCCAGGGGCCTATAGGATTAGAAAGAATAATGCAAAGGCACGTTGGTGATATACTTACTATTCCTCGCATGTCATGGGCTACACCTTAGATGAGTACTTCTGATGAAGAAAGCTGATCAAGCGCATGCTGACTTCAATTGCAGTGTCTTTTTCTCTTTGATCTCCCGATGAGATCTTTGAACTCATTGGAGAAACTCAGATGATATGGTAGCTCCTAGGAACTGTATATAACAACATGTTTTTACTTGTTTTCTCAAAGAGATACTTGAGTATTAAGGAGCTAGAAAAAATTATAGGTTATTAAGTTAATACTGAGAAGATGTTGAACAAGTGAGGAAATAGCTAGAGATGAGATAAATAGTAGAGTTGGGCAAATTTGTGTTCCTCTATAGACACAATTTAGTTTTCTCGTTTTTCTAACCTCAGTAGTGTCTGTAGGCGACACTATGGTGTATACCCTGTGGCCTAAGGCCCTAGTTGTTGCTGGCACAAAGCTTGGCCTTCTTGCCATGCCGAGATAATTCTGAAGGGCTATCCCAGCTTAGGGTCTACCGGCACCTCTGCTGCAACCACATTTCAGAAGAGTACTACCTTTGTTCAATCTTTTTTCTCTTACCCCTCAGAATTCTTGCTCTCTAAAGCAATCAGTTACAAATCTGCATGCAAGTTGTTTTACAGTCTGTTTTCTGGAGAATCTGGAAAAAGCATGTTTGCTCTTCTTCTGCTACCCTGAATCTCAGTAATGTTCCTTCTCTTCTGTATTGGACCTTATGGTCAGGAAATAGTCTAACAATTCCTTTATGCTGTAAAGTAATCGTAATTCTCTGTTCCCTCTTCAGTGGTACTTGCATTTTAACTGGAGCCAGAACTTTTATGATAGGTCTGGTGAGATATTGCTCTGTAAGAAATTTCTGGTGATGGAGTTGGGACTGAAAGGAGATTCTACCCAGGGGTCTCAGAAATGTCAACCCATAGAAGGCCCCTGCTGTTAAGGTTGTATCACTGGCAGGGGTACAATGAATGGTTTCCCCTGGCCCTGTGACACCTTTGGTTCTGAGCAGTTGTATTCCTACCACAGCGGAAGACAGAAACTTGTTTTTCCACCATCATTTCCTTGGGCTTCACTTGGGGATATTAAGATTTTTCTGTGTCTTTTAGATTCAAGTATTTTCAAGGAAACAAAACGCAAATAGTTCAAAGCTAACTTGAGCAGCTCCACAGTTTAATACATTGTGTCATCTTGTGGCCTTCCCAAGCATGAGTTACTCCCTTCTTTGTCTCAGTGACACTTTGCTCATATCTACATGACATTTTGTGCTCTATGTTTTCATTTTTCTAGTTACCTGTCATCCATTCAATAGCGTTTTGCACTTGTGGAGACAGCGCTGTGCTGCTGTCACCTTACTCTTTAGTTTCTGACCAGTGTCTTGGCACACAGCGGTAGCTCAGTAATTTTGAATGGATAAAGAGAAAAATGAACACCTCTTATATTCAGGGCAGTATAAGATACAAGGGAGAACAAAAGTGATATAAATAGCTAAATTTTTTGTGTATTTATTTAACTGTAGGTCAACTATACCCTTGAATAAGCATGACTCATGGGATGGAATTACAAAGCACCTTGACTTTTGTTTCTCTCCCTCGAAGTTATCAGTTACATTTGGGTAAGACAAGTAATTAAAATGTCCATTCTCATGTCACAGGAAAAATGAACTTGAATTAACATCGAGTCCCTCGACCCCTTTATCAGTTTAGGCTCGACAGAGCAAGGAGCAAGCAGTTGGAGAAGGGGATGTGGTTTACTCTCTTCCTTTCCTCATCAAGTCTCTCTCTTTCCTTCTCTCTCTCTCTCTGTCTCTCTCTCTCTCTCTCTCCTGGTTAACCATAGTTTATGGATCCTTGGGGTTGGCATAACCAGAAAAGAGAGGAGAGGAAGAAAACTCTTACCTGGCCAGAACTGTAACAAACAGAACCTTCTGGGCAAGGCAAGTGTTTAGGTTTACTCTTTCATAGATTCTTTGTAGACTACTCTCTCATTCAATCCTGTCCTTGTTAGTTGAGGCCACATGCTTGCAGTTTCCTTGTGGGTTTTTTCTAGCTCCTTGCTAAGCCTTTCTCAGCTGATGTCCATAAAATAGTACTGAGGTCTATTTACTCTCTCCCCTACAAGTAACCTCTCAGGCTAAATCTCAGACAGTCTAATGCAATTGCCTCGACACACTTTTCCAAAAAAATATCTTCTATTTCTTCACAAACTCGGAGGCAGATGTATCTCTTTCACACACAGGGGATGGAAACCAGGGCTTTTGCATTGAACTATATGTGCAGCTCCCCTTTAATTTTTTTTGCGGGGGGAAGGGTAGAACTCAAATTTGTGATCCTTCTGCCTCAGCGGGGAGTCACTGAATAGGGCAGAAGTCAGTAAAGACAGGTAGAAAGAGGCACAATAGATATTATAGGGTCAGAATGAAAGGACCAGGCTGCCAATGCTTCATGAGATGCTCGAAAGAAGGACTCAGACCCTGGATTACTAGGGAGAAAATGTCAGCACTGAGGGCAATGGGACAGAGGAGGCCCTCTTTTTTCTTCCTCTTACATTTTGTTAAAATCTGTTGTTAAAATTTTTTTGATGAAACTAATATTTAATACATACTCATATGATAAGCAGAGTTTGAAACATGTCATTTCATTTAGTCTCACAAATGAAAAAAAAAATTTTAGAGTCTTGCTATGTTGCCCAGGCTGGTTTCAAACTCCTGGCCTCAAGCAGTCCTCCTACCTCAGCCTGCTGAGTCTGCCACCATCGCTGTTGCTGCTCACAGATAAAGCCTTATTACATAGATTTAGTCATCTGTTTTCTTCTTCCTTGGCTTTCTCGTCAATCAAGTTCTTGGTCACCTTTTAGCTTGAGAATCTAATCCAGTGACAGGCACAAGTGAGAATGTGAATCATCGCTTTTGCAAAAAGAGCAAGTGTTTCAAGTTCCTTAGAACACGCAACATAAGCCGAGCATTGTGGTGTACGCCTGTAATCCCAGGACTTGGGTGGCTGAGGCAGGAGGATCACTGTGAGTTCGAGTCCAGCCTAGGCTACATAGTGAGTTCCAGGTCAGTCTCAACTACATAGTGAGACCCTGTCTCAACAACAACAGCAACAACAACAACAACCCCCCGCAAAAGCCCTCCCAAAAACAAGAAACAAAAAAACCCACAGCATTGACTATTCAGCTGTTCCTTCTGAGAAATACACCCTCAACCTGTGACTGGAGGCATCTGTATAAATGTGGGGTCAGCTAACTCTAAGCAGGATGATACTCCTTCAAAGGAGGATCTCTTTTTTTTCTATCTAGCCTGTTGCTGCTAGAACTACCTCTGCTATACGGAGATCATAGTCACAGGCCAGATGACCAGGAGGGGACTCCTACTTGCCCTGAAATAACCCAGAGAACCAAAAAGTCACAGAGAGTGTCCTGCATAAGAATCTAACAAAAATTCATCTCCTCTTTACCACAAGGACATTGATCAGCTTCATGGATTGGGCTTCAGCTCATGTGGAGGCTGTCATTTTAGCTCGTGGTCCTTAGATGGCACTCTGGGACTATGCAAGGTTTTGCCTGGCTTGTTACTCCCCCGCCCCACCAATGGAGCACAGATTCTGCAGTCATTTCAGGCTGAAACTTTTCTATAGAAAACCTGGATGAAAATGAATGGAGATGATTGAATCTCATTGAAAAAACTATATGTATTTTATTATATATGGTATATATATATATGATTAACTATAGGTTGAAAAAGATAAATTGGAAAGATTCTGGATTTTTTTTGGGGGGGGGTACTGGGATTTGAATTTGGGACCTTGCACTTGTGAGGCAGGCAGCAGAACCACTGAGCTAAATCCTTGGCCCAAGATTCTGGATTCTTTAAGAAACACACATGGTGATTTCTGCTATTTGAGAATACAGAATTACTCAGGAAGTTAAGGGATTCTGTGGATTGGTGGCTTTCTGTGGCTTCTGCAGTTTAGGGGCATCTTGGTAGAAGCTTTTGCATTTGGGAAAAGAATCTGAACAGTTTTATTTAAACTCATCATAGCTACAAAATATCTTATTCTTTCTTTTGAGGCTGAGACCAAGAGCTTATTAGTAAGAACTGAGATGTAAAGGTAGGTAGCAGAAAGTTCCAGGCACCTGAGTGGTGGTGTGGGTGGACTGGAAGTGGAAAGAGTCAGCTCTTTCTGTGGGAGTGAAACTGTGTGTGAGTGTAAGAATGTGGGGATAGGTAGGGGTAGAAAGAGAAGGCAAGAGAGAGCAGGAACTCAGCTGTCCCCTACCCCATAACCCAGGAAACAGTCCCACAAATACTTTCTGTTTAAACATGGATAGCATTATCTTGGCCATTTGAAACTGACCTGTGAAGGCTTGACATGTCCTATCTTTGTAGTTGAGAGAGCTGATTCCTTTGGTAGAGATGACCCATAAACAGCCCAAAAAAGAGCTGGCACATGGAAGATCCTCATTTATCCACTCATTTATTCACTTAAGACAAACTGAACCATCCCCTACGCACTATTCTAAGTGGTAGGTTTACATCAGTGAATAAGGTCAAGTAAAAAAACCCCAAAAAACCCCAATTCAGCCTCCACTCAGGAAGTGACATTCCATAGATGAAAACAGAAGAAAAATTAGCAACAGTGTGTTAACCGGTGATAGAGTCCAGAGACAAAGAGGTAAGAAATGGGGAGAGCGGATGAGAAGCTACAGTTACTTCAGGTCAGCGCGTCTCTTACCAGGTGATACTCGTTCAGACACCTGACTGAAGTGGGAATAATTCATTTCAGCTATGTTTCCTCCTCTTTCTCATCTTTTTTCCTAATAAGCTGGGCAGAACACTTCATGAAATAAAATGTCCTTTTTAAAGCTAAGCTTTTCGTCTTCGACAATTGCTAAGTCCAAGTTTTGCCCCCTCATTGAAACGTTCTGACACGATGTTGCCATATCAACATGAGGTGATACTTTTACACCTACCTCTCAATGTGATGGAAACAATCAAAGGAGAACGTTCCTGAGATTTCTTTTGGAAACTCAAAAGTGCAGTAAAAGCATAAAGGATGTTTTCCTTTCTTTTCTTTCTTCTTCTTCTTTTTTTTTTCCCCCGGTACCGGGTATACAACTCAGGATCTTGCTCTTGAGAGGAACGCGTGGTGCCACTGAGCTACACCCTGGCCCCTTGTTTTCATTTTTCATTATTCCCCTTTCCTATTGCTCACACCTTTTCTTCCCTTTGATTTTTGTAGTAGCAGTCTATCTAAGGTCAAGTTCACACGTTAGTTGTACTTTTCTACTTACTCAGACTAGAAGCTTGATCCACGTTGGCAAATGAGTATTGCTTAACACAGTTGTGTCAAATGATTTACAGTTGCTGTTTGAAACCGTGGACTGTGAAGTCAGGTTCTCCCACAGAAAGCCTAAGATGAGTAACACCCAGATACAATAGCTTCCACACCTTCTCCAAATCGTACATGTTGGGATCGTGTGAAGTTGTGGGGATGCATTAGTTTTATCTACCACTGTCAAGAGCAGTGCTGTGGTGTGCCTGCTGGGCAGCTGCTGAATACTGTTTAGCTCACAATCACCTAACCTGATGGGTTTTGTTGGCTCGGTTACCCTGGTAAAATTCTGACATCTGAGTGACCTCAAACAGAACAATTCAGTACTTGGCCCTAGTGCTAATAATCCTGCATCTCAGCATCCTTAGAAGCCCCCTGCCACCTCTCAGTAACTGGACTGACAGGGAGCAACTGCTGCCCCTTGGCTTCTTTTGATTTTCCCTTCTAATATGTGGCGTGGTCCTTTCACATGTGACTATTTGACTCCATGTTTTAGGTTATTTTATACTGTGTTAATGTCGCAAAATACAGATACCTTTTTTAAAAAGGAATTTTTGGTGTACCGAGGATTGAACTCAGGGCCTTTAAAGGGAGTTCTGACCCTAGGGCTTTTCTGGGTGGCTCAGGCTGGGCTTGAATGTTCATTGCCCAGCTCAGAGACGCCTTTCACTGGATACAGAATTTCTTTTAGGCAAATAAGCATATATACAAAATTTGAGCCTCAATGAAGAGAGAAGAAATATGAGAAAGAAACTGTAGGAGCTGCTTCAGTTATAAGTAAGACATCAAAAGTCTCTTTATGTTAGATGAGACTGAGAACAACATGGGCCAAAGCCGTGGCCCGCTGAATTTAGTCCCAAACCCCAGAGTCTGTGGACACAGTCACCTTCTAGGTGAATTTAAATGTTGATAGGAGACAATGCCATGCTGTTGTGACTCAAAATTATGGATATGAAATCCAAGATATTAGCAGGAGCAGAATGATAGAAACTAGTAGCACAGCTGAGAAGAGGGGGAAAAAAAAGTAATGAGGATTTTCTGGAGCTTGAACAATGAAGCAGGACGGTGAGATCCAGTTCAAGATGAAATGGAGCTCAAAGGGAGCAGCAGTACTTTCTCTTCAGGCTATGGATGAGCAGTTAATATCATTAACCAGCCACTGTGTCTCCTGGTATCACAGTGTTTTTTAAGGTTAGATTGCCCTTTCTATTACCAACCATATTTAGACTTAAAACATCTCCATTCTGGTTTTGTAGCTGCTGCCTTTCTCTGTGTTGAAGTCTTGGTATCACTCTGGCTCTGTTTTTCAAAAGCTGGTTACCTCTTAGTACTGTCCAGCTCACCATTTAACCATTACATTAACTTTACAAACATCCAAGGGGCCATGTAGCACGTCCAGCTCCAGGCAGAGGGACGAGAAGGGAGCTCTGAGGAGATTCACCAGGAAGCAAGCTGGTACTCAGGAGCAGAGCCTTTGGATAGGCTCCGAACTGAACCGGGGAGGAGGAAGACATTTGCAAATGAGAGCACCAGAGAAAATGAAAGCCAGAGAATCACCTGGGGGTCTAAGACCAGACCAGCATCAAGCAGGGCTGGTGGGAAAACAAAGAACCAAGATGAGGCACTGATTACAGAGTCCAGAAGTAGGTGCTGGGAAAGTCCTGCCTCAGGGAGCTGCAGACTGTGATGGACAGGACTCTTTCACAAGGTGAACACTTCCCATTGTCCTCAAAACTGGGCAGTGCCCACCATTCAAGGCCTGCAAGCGGACCCCTCCTCCCCAGCCAAAGGCTCAACACGGAATGCCTTTAGCAGCACAGTTCCTGTGGAGTAGTGTGAGGCAGACTCAGGGACAGAGCCAGAGAGAGGCAGCGTAGTCAGAGGATAAAGCTGTACACTCAGCGGGGGGCCTTTTAGAGCTTGAGCCTAGAGCTTCTCCTTCATCCAGGAGGGGAGGGAGCCGCGATGGAGAAAGCCCTTTTCGAAATCAGCGAGTACTGGCCCAGCCACATTCGAATTCAATTCAGACTGTCTGAACACAAGACAGGCAAAAAAGTCAGCTAGCAACAGGCCACAGGCGTGAAACTGAAACGAAGCAGCCTGTGGCCTACAGAGAAGAGGTGGGCTCAGAAATGCGCCTGGATTCCCAACGTCTTCACTCCCTGGCAGGCAGGAGAGCAAATCCTAGGAGGGGCTGTCTCTGTGAGTCACCAGAGTGGGCTGTGGGATGAGAAGGTGCAGGAGAAAAGGCCTCCCGTGGACGCAGTGACGCCCTATGGAGGGCGGAGGAGCAGACGAGAACAAAACGGACCGGTCTGTGCAGACCTGCTTTAGCCCAAGTCAGCTTCTGCACTTGTGAATAAGACCCAGAGGATGTTTAATTCTGTTGGTTTTGTAAATCTGTGGGTTCCCCCTCCTTCTTTCTTTCTTCCTTTTCTCTTTCATCAAATATATCTAGGAAGTATCTGTATAAACGGAAAGGAGAATAAGAATTAACCAGTGCTTTAATCTACAGAGTACCTTCCCTGGGAGAGTCGCGGTCACCCTCATCAAAATTGTACATAGAAGGTCCAGACACAAGATTACTTACTATTGTTGTATTAGCAGGTCCTGACCTTCTCGTGGCTTTTCTCAATCTCCAATTACACGTCCCACTTTCTGCATCCATTTTCTCACTCCTACAATTATTCTCTCAAACCTCCTTTCCACCAGCCACCCATTCCAGTTATAAAAACACTACCCACGAAGTTTGATCTCCTTCCTTCCTTCCTTCCTTCCTTCCTTCCTTCCTTCCTTCCTTCCTTCCTTCCTTCCTTTCATGCTACCTCTTTTTCTCCTTTTTTCTTCCTACTGATACACTGTCTTCCATTTCCTCTACCCTTTTCCGGTCCTCATCTCATACATCCCAGTCTACCTGGCCGTAGTATTATACCACAGTCTTTATGGGTCATTGAAAAAAGGATGAAATTGTTAAAATAAATTTTAATGTCCACAATGGATGATATGGTTGGCTCTGAGATGCTGATTTAACGAACAGTAAATTGAAGAACTGGATAAAAACAAAACATAACCAAAGCCAAGATCACATCCTTGAGATACACACACTAACTAAAAGAGATATCCATACTAGTGATAGATTTTTTTCCACTCTGATCCTCAACCTCCAGCATAAAAATAGAAACATGAGAAAACAAGGCAACAAGATTCCTCCAGGGATTCTTAACATGCTAAAATCTGATCTATGAGGAGGAAGTAAAAAAATCAAATGAAATGTATGAAGGGATAAAAGAAGACATAAAATAATCAAACCAATAAGCTGCTCAGTGTTGAGAGCTGGGGTGTGATGGTGCACACCTATAATTCCAGCACTCAGGAGACTGAGGCAGGAGGACTGCTGTGAGTTCAAGGACAGCCTGGGCTATATATTGAGTTTAAAACCATCCTGAACTACATAGTGAGACCCTGTCTCGAAAAACAAAACAAAACTAAACAAAACAAAGCAAAACAAAGCAAGGATGTTCAGTGAGTTCAAAGAAGATGCAGCCAAACAAATAAAGGGACTTAACTGATGAAATGATCAGTGAGTTTACAGAAGACACAAACAAAAATTAGAGTGAATCAATCAAGACCATCCAAGGCATATATGACAATTTTGGTAAAGGATCAGAGACCATGCAAAGATATCAAACAGAAATCCAGGATATAGAAAGATCCACTCAAAATACGGGTAGCAGAAATGACCAAAGGGAAGAGAGCACTAGAACTAGACGATAAGGCTGATGCAGGAGACCATTACTCAGAGATACCTTTTTAAAAAGAGGCCAATGGAAACCATGGAAACTGGATCCAAGTGCTGCTGGATGACTCAAGGAAAATTAACCTGAGAATTATAGGAGTCACAGAAAGATCAAAAGACAGAACCAAAATCATAACAGAAAAATTTCAGTTTAGGGAAAGAATTCAACTTTCAGGTAAACAAAGCTCATAGAGCCCCAAATAGCCATGATCAGAAAATAACTTCTTCGTGACACATCATAATTTAAATCCTGGAAGTTTAAAACAAGGGCAGATTTTAAAAGTTGTTAGAAAAAAAACAATGATCAGAATTGCTAATCTATTATTTTAGCTACAAATGTTCTCTAAATAGAACATATAATTTGGAAGAAGTAATCATGCATTTGCCTAAATGAATGTCTAATCTCTATTGAAATGGTGTAGAAAAATAATCGCAGCATAACAGAGTCCAAAGCATTATTTTATTTAATTAAGTGTAGTCATTCTTATGATTATTTAATGTTGTGTTATTTAGAATCTGTAATACGTCAGATGTCAAATGATTTTTCTCCCATTGCTTTTACAAAAGGTTTCAAATCTTATTTAATTTTTAATCAAACTTTAGTGGATAGCTTTACAAATATTATTTTATTAGGGATATAAAATCCAGTCTGGAGATTTAGCTCAGTGGTGCTGCCGCCTGCCTTGCAAGCACAAGGATCCAAGTTCAATCTCTGGAAACAAAACAAACGAACAAACAAACAAAGGGATATAAAACCCATATGGAATAAAATTAACATTTTAAAGTGTTCAGCTCAGCAGAGTTTAGTATGGATATTCACAATACTGTGCAAGAAGCACCCCTGCCTACTTCCAAATCATTTATATCACCTGCAAAGGAGACATTATCTCTTTTGCAGTCTGTGACTTTCATCTCCCTTGTTCCCTGTAAACCACTGATATACTTTCTGTCTCTGTATTTATCTAGTCAAAATATTTCATATAAGTAGAATCAGACACCGTGACCTTTTGTGGTTGGCTTTTTTCACTTAGTGTATTATTTTGGAAGTTTATCCATATTGTATCACATATTGATTGATATTTCATTCCTTTTTATGACTAAATGCTATCTTTTTGTGTTGGTGTATTGTTATGTGTATTCATAGATGGATGTTTGGATTGTTTCCATCTTTTAGCTACTGTGAATAATGCTCTTTTATGCTACATTTATAAATTAATTGCAGTCATTTGGTAGCAATATCATTTGTGTTTACCTTTAAGAGACAGATACATTGCGAAGTTAGTAGAATCGTATATTACCATGGTGAAGGCACTGTTGTTGAAGCGTTTCATATGTGCTATGGACTTGTACAGATGTGAAATGGCTGAGCAACAGCAGAGTCACTGATCACTGAATATCTTCAAATTTCTCTGTTTTAGAA